TTTAATTAATATAACAAGAAGTACTATAGATCCAACTAGAAAATACTAACCAAATCCTTGTAGTAAAGTTTATTAAACGTTCTATTTATAAAAAATATCGAATAAATAATATCGAATCTTATTATGATAACTAGTGAATACTACTTGGTTTAATCAAAATGTCTTCTATTAGAGACATCCTATTGATACAATCAAATGATTTTCTCAGTGTCATTTTTCTCAATTTATAAACTTTGACATTTTAATCTTTAATTTCCGCTTTAAATATTTTTCTTTCAATTTAATGTGTCTATTAATAACATTTCTTGTTCTATAAATGATACGCTGATGTAAAGAAAATATCTTTTGCTTTGTTTTTTGAATGACTTAGCACGATAGAAATTATTTCCTTAACGAATGTCTCACCCAAGACGTAGATTTAGCTGTTTTGTTACGCAATATTTAAGAAAACCGTTCCACAGTTAGATACTTTCGCACAAACTCAGCGATAATTTCGATATTATTAGAAATAATTTGTTCGCGCTATTTCGGGGAACAAATATAGAGTGTGGCTGGGAAAAGACGCGCTAACTTCTTTTGATATCAAATATAGAACTTTCATCGTGCGAGAACGTTTCTACTTTTTTCTCTACATCATAATCGAGATAACGAATTCTCTTGAGGGAGCAAAATTATATCGACTATTTCATCGTACGTGACATCTAGTAATTCCGCGCACATCTTGTGAACATCTGTCTCTTCGCTTCTCTTGCATTTTTTGCTCGTTGATTTCTATTAGAAAAATTTCTATTGCACGTTTCTTTTCTGGTATCTTGAAAAATAATTAACAAAGTTAAATTTCGCACAGGTAATTTCTCAATTTTTCATTGTGCTTTAGCATTTTCTAATAAGATAATTAAAAAATTTTAAGCCTTATTTAAAGTTTTAATTTTTTAATCAGTTAGCGAAAATTTTCTATTCCATTTAATAAAGACTTCTTAATTTCAATCTAAAATTTCGCTGCAAGATTCCCTCGAAAAATTAATAAAAAAATTTTGACGGGTCAATTTATACTTATCCACGTGATAATATCCGCGAGTACTTTTCGGCGATTCTCTCGAGGGGAAAAGAACACTTTGACAATGCGGCTGAACGAAGGGGAGGAGGACATTGGAGAAAAGAGAGGCATGAATGAATGAAGTCGACGGAAATGCCTGGCGAAGCGGCTGCTCGCCATGGACCGTACCTATTATGAAGTAAAAGAGACCAACGCAGAGAGAAAGAGCGAGTCCGAAAGTAAATTTAATTCATAATCTGCTGCAATGCCTACTCTTGCCAACAACTCGGCTCTCATCAAGGTTTCATTGAAGTTTTTCTTTCTCTCCGGCCACCGCAAAAACTCGCTCTCCGAACATATAAACTGTAAGCAACATTCATCATGGCAATTATTCGTTTTCCAAAATAATATGTAACGTTATTATTCTGGAAATATCGCAAAGAGATAGAAATATGAAGAGATCAAAATTTCGTGTATAATTTATGTACGCTTATTTTAATATTTTTTTAATATTTTAATATTTTTTTGGGGGTGAACAGTCTTGTAAATTTCATGGCAAATTTTTGATTCATCATGGCAATTATTCGTTTTCCAAAATAATATGTAACGTTATTATTCTGGAAATATCGCAAAGAGATAGAAATATGAAGAGATCAAAATTTCGTGTATAATTTATGTACGCTTATTTTAATATTTTTTTAATATTTTAATATTTTTTTGGGGGTGAACAGTCTTGTAAATTTCATGGCAAATTTTTGATTCATCATGGCAATTATTCGTTTTCCAAAATAATATGTAACGTTATTATTCTGGAAATATCGCAAAGAGATAGAAATATGAAGAGATCAAAATTTCGGGTATAATTTATGTACGCTTATTTTAATATTTATTTTGGGGTGAACAGTCTTGTAAATTTCATGTCAAATTTTTGATTCATCAATGTTAAATATATATTCTCTTCATGAATTAAAAATTAGATAACACGACAAGGTTCTATATTAGAAGTTAAATACTTTGCAATTTTAATCAATATTTTCAAAAATGTTCTCATATATCTTAGTGACGTGTAACGCGAGGATAGCTTGAGAGCTGAATAAACGAGCCGTGTCGATTAAACGCCGTTAAACTTCCGCCCGTCAAACAATCTCGTCCTCTAATTTTCGAACGAGAAATAGCGTCGTTTTAATTAGCGATTGCCGGGCTTACGGGCTTATAAACTGTTAGTAACTTGTCGGCGGGGAAACGTATGACGTGTTACGCGTATAGCCGGCCCGAGACGGGCCGCACGCGGAATTAATCCCACGGTTAGTATGCCGACCGGCGAATCGCGGCTTGTGTTACAATGTCAGCGACAATAGACGGCGAAGTATTGTGTAAAGGTTGACACATACTCCCTCTCGATCTTCTAGCGCGATCCGGTTATCTCAGCTACACCGACGTATCCGACGTTGTTGAACTTTCGTGCCGCTCCTTCACCTCCTGTCCTCGTTTCCATCCTCACCACCCACGGCTGGAGCACATAAACACATAGTCGGCCTGAGATTTAATCCATCGATGGTAGATAGCGTCTCACTCTGCGGATTCACGCCCAAATATTACGAACAGCGGCCCAGCATCGTTTCCTCGCCGAATGTTGCTTCCCTTTTCTCCCTTCTCTCCCCTCTGTCCCTAATTCAGTCTGTATTTAGCTTACCCGCGGCAAACAGAATCGCGGGTCGAGGGATGAAACGTTTTCGGAGCTCCTCCATAAGCACGTAGACTTAGATGTTTAATTAGGATAAAGAACTGAGATCAAATAATGATAAACAAATCAGATAATTTAGTAGCGGAAACCCTCTTGCGTTTGTGGCAATAGTTGAAAAAAAATCTGTAAAATCTCTTGATAAAAATATCTTGACTCTTTATTCTCCGTCGAGGCAATCGACAATATTCTATCTGCTTCCACTCTCTTTCTCGCGTTACTATAATATTAATATAATGGGTCGTAACGAGAGCGAGATAGATTATAAATTAAGAAATATAATTTGCAATTTTTTTTTCTTTCTTATTATATGCTGTTTCATGTAGAGAGAGCAGATTTTATATTCATTGAAAAAAGGGCGAGATGAGAGGGATTCTGAACGAGAAGAAAAACGCGATTTGTAGAGTTTTTACGTAACCCCTTGTTTTATTACATACGTCGAGAATATTCATAAGAACTTCTCGTTTCTTCTTGTTCTCTTGTAAATAACAACATTCAACTCAACGTCGCAAAGCATATCGTAATATATTATATAACATATATATATATATATGTACTCAATATAGTCCCCCATAATTCGTATATATACATACATATATATATGTATATATAAATATATATATACAGGGTGTCAGGGCAATCTCTTCCCCGAAAAAAGCTCTTGTAGCTTACCTCGAGAGCTTTTCAAAACACTATAATAAAGTATTATTTTCATCGAGTATTATTTTCGAGTTATTAGGCTTGAAATGATCTCTAAATTTAACATAAATCATAAAATATCTATTAAAATATTCATTTTTCGATTATCTTACCTACCTTAATACTTTTATGTACAAAATAATGAAAAGAATCAACTGGTGTAAAGAAAACACACAATTATTTCGAAGAAAAAATTTGTAATTTGCAGTTAACAATTACATATTTTTTTTCGAAACAATCATGTGTTTTCTACACACCAATTAATTCCTCTTATTATTTTGTACATAAAAGTATTAAGATAAGATAATCGAAAAATGAATATTTTACTAGATATATATTTTATGGTTTATGTAAAAATTATGAAATTCTTTCAAGCCTCATAACTCGAAAAGTACTCGATGAAAAAATACTTTTTTTTATTAATAGTGTTTAATAGTGTTTAATTAATAGTTTTATTAACTATTTATATAGTTAATAGTTATATTTTATTAACTGTTTTGAAAAGCTCTCGAGGTAAGTTACAAGAGATTTTTTTGGCGAAGAGATTGCCCTGACACCCTGTATATATATACATATATATACTTATACATATACACATATATATATATATATATATATATATATATATATATATGTATGTATATATATATATATATTTGTATTTTCATATTTATAATTTGCGTTATGTATACATATATACCTTCGCGTTTAATATGTCTCGTCGCGCGCTTATAACGCTGAGACGGCGAATTTTTCACGTCGATCCGTATATTACTCATTAAGGTCAAAATATCACTCGCTAAGATTTTACCCTTCTGCGCGGGAAATTTCTCCGTGCGGGGAACGACGGCGTACGAATGAACTGAAAAGCGGAAATTGCGAAAAACGGAAAAACGGATTAACGACACGTCGGCACACGCCGACACGCCGCACACTATTTACCGCAGTCTGCGAAGCTTACTCTACGTATAATCCTTATCATTTGTATACTTGTATATTTACAGGACTCGTCGATGAGACGAGTCAACATTCGAGCACCCTTAGACCGATAATTCGAATAATTCGCGTCGCCATTTTCCCTTAGCCTTAATTGTGAATTTAATTTATAAGCCATTGTCTGTGATGGTTGTTGTAGAAGTATTTTAGGATACTTTCGAAAATTACTTCGTATTTCAGTTGATTTCTTCCAAATCAAGGGGATGATTCGCGGTAAACTTTGTGAATTTTTCTAACGCGTTTTAGATTCATGATTTCAGTCGAGATCTGGAATAGGGAAGAAAATATGTCGCGTCTGTACGACGCTAACGGAAAATGGCATTACGCATGTTACGCACAAGTAATCACCGTTGCTTTACAACGTGCACGATCACATACACGCGTATACACACACGTACATACATATACTGTGCTGTGCGAGCTCTGTGGGTTAACGGCAGTGATCGATTCTCGATAGATGACATCTTTCGAGTCTTTTTAGGCACGACCGACTAATTTTTATTTTGCTGTTTATTTTGCTGTCTTCGATTTTTTTTTTATAGAAATGAAACTTTTCGAAATATTAAACTCTGATTTTTCATTTGAGAATATTTGAGTCTCGCGCAGAATTAGAAAATATACCGTGTTTATATTGATGCATACGTGTGTATGTGCGTGTATACAATTCTATGACTGATTAGAATAGAATGTTTCAAAATCATTCATAATCGGCCGTGCCTATAAATGACATCACCGCTCCGGATTGAGTACAATTACCTTTCACGAAAGAATTGTAAAGTAATCATATTTGTTTTCCTTCTAAAATTACGTAACATAATTAAAAGAAGATTAAATTGAATAAATCTATGAAAAAGAGATGGCAATAATATCAAATAACACTTTTATACATACATTTTGATGCTAAATATAAAAATGCATTCAAATATTCTTATCAAATGCAATCTAAGCTACGAAACATCTCTATCGTCAATTTTTCTTCTACACCGCTCTTTTCTAGACTTTCATAATTTTGTTTTACCAAATTCGAACTGTTTATAACGTACGTATAAAGAATATCTTTTAATGCTGGGTAATCGTTTACACGCATAAACGCACATACGACATTTCGTTTGACAGTCGAGGAAACAATTAGTTTGCGTTGAGCAGATCGGGATTCGAATTCGTCGCGATGGGATTTGCAGATTGCATCGCATCGCGAAAACTGCGACGTGAGCGCATGATTTTCTCATGCTTATGACTCTTAAAAGGTTACAAGACCGAGAGGTAGTCTCGCGAATGATACGATTACAGACCTCATCAGGGTAAGTCCTACGTAATCCCTAAGTCGAGCCGTTCCCTTCTTTAATCCGTAGCAGGCATTAACTCCTTTGCGCGCAGAGTGCAGGGACTCTCGAACCTGTTGCTTTAAACAAGATGTACGCTGAATAATGGATATTCCTAAGTAGTTCGAAGTCCGCTTAAAACCGACATGGCAGCCGCTCGCGACCGTCTACGAACAAATCCCAATTTGATCAATTAACGTGTAAACAAATTGATCGCGCGACGTAACAGCGTGGTGAAACGGAATTCGATCACCTTCCAGACACGTCTGATTTATCTCGCAATTATTTTATCTCCCGATTCTCCAATCTTGCGATAGATTTCTAACAGCAAAGTCTCCATGTTAACGAATCTAAAATACATACATTTGTTCGATTTGTTTTATATGTCATGAGGATAGTCGATTCTTAGAAGAACGTTATTTTATCAAACATAGAAAATAGCAAATACAATAAAAGACAGGTAATAAAAGATAAGCTTTTAATGCTACGTTAAAGATCATTCGCTGTACTTATCTGGAATGATGTCAAAAACAAGAAATGTAAATTACGATAATAAATTGACTTTTTCTTCATGTTCTGCGATAGCGTCACATCGTGATAAGATATGATGAAACCGGTTTCATCATCTTTAATTAATAAATAAATATATGATTTAATTTATTTACTTGTCTCGCATTTGTGTTTATGACAGTTGCTAATAAAATTTCCATTTATAATCTATCTAATTTATAAATTAATAGAAAAGGCTTCGGCAAATTTCGTGAATCTTTTTTGTCCAGTATGGATTTTTTTAACACGCAAAAGAATCAATTTATTTCAACGATAACCAAGAAAAATCTATTAATCTAGTAATAATCTTTTGCTTCCAATTCTATCTGCGGTTTCGAAAAAAACCTGCTTGCAATCAATGAATGACTCGATTCCTCGTTATAGCATATCTTCATTCCATTCCACTTCCCCTGTCGCAAATTTTCCATTTTCTTTTCCCCCTTTCCGTCATTCTCGCGCTTCTTTCGACTGTCTCCTTAAGCGAGAGCAACTCCTCTGCACCGAATCTGACGTTTTAATCTCAAGTATCCAGATGGGATCCACGATTCTGTACGTAAAGATGCAAGAGCTCGAACGAGGAGAATCGGAGAATTTGGAATGTACTCCTGATAGAACAGAAAGGGTGTGTCTGCGGAGGGAAGAAGTGGAGAATCGATGCTGGAGATAATACGCGCTCGCGCAATGCCATATTTCTCTCACGTTTTATCTGAAAAAAAATTGTTGATGCTTAAGAAATATATCGTAGCTGAAACCGAGTCGAACCTGATGGCAATAGAAATAAACTCTGCTCGAAGCGCGATTTACATTCGCACGATTGTTCATTCGAAATATACGCATCATTACGACGAATGATCTTCAAGTGTGCAATCCTCCCTTATGTTGTCAATAAAAGTGAAAATTCTTATTATACCAACTAATGAAGGAGAAGAAACTATTTTTTTTTCTTTCGAAAAGGGATATACAAATTTAAAAATAGTCCAAAATCCCCCGTTGGGAATGGGGCTCGTTTCCTCAGTCATAAACTTTAATCCAATATTAAGCTCGAGTGGTTTCGTTTTGATATTCCGAAATACTGGGATTACCGCGCGACTAAAATTCTTCCATGATGCAGTTAAAAAATATAACGACACATTCTCACACGTTCCCAAACTACACTCGCAGAGACGGGATCACTGGTATTTGTTGTTGGCGTCATTGATTACAGCGTTATACAATATATTACACTGAAAGCGATAGTCGTTGCACTTTTAATATCATCCCTTCTTCTTTCTCGTTGTTCCACCCATCGCCGCGTATCTTGCTCCTCATCTGATTGTGAGTCCACATACATACACACACAGAGACAAACATGTACACACATACGTATTCTTACAATGAGGAGGACTGGGGGGGGGAGATTCGTACTTCATCAATTCTTGGCCACTCTTGAACTTTGTTGCTACACTAACTTGGCACGCGCGTAAATTATTCTCCATCATTTAATACGGACTATCTCGGTCAGTCTTTGTGTCACTCGTGTGTAGTTATATTTGTGTGTGTGTGTGCATGCGTATGAATGTATGTTGTGTGTCGATCCTTTGTATGTCGTTTTAAATTTAAATTTTTTTTCTTTACTTTTTAATCGAGTCCCTTAATTAAGGAGAATCAACACCTATCGCGTATCAACGACGAGAACTTGGATTTTGTTTATCGAATTATCATTACAGCCAGAGTAATTAGTAGTAGCGTCACGGTCGTCGTCACGCCCGTTGCTGAATCTGGAATTAGACAAAATTTCACTATTTAGGACAAAAAGCACATTGGAAAATTTTTTTATAGAAATATTGTTTCTAAATTATGCGCATCTGTCAAATATATTTATAAAAATCAATAATTTGCTTAAAATATTAGATATTGTTAGTAGACGGTTTGCTTAAAATAATAAATATTAGATGCTACGTTTCATCTATAAAATATTCTCTCTATTTCAAGAATCGACGTCATTTCGATGGTTTTATTACTAATAATCTTTGGATTAATAATATGACATCAAAATTTATGTAAAAAATTACTTTTATATCTCGTCTCTTTTTAATTAAAAAATTAAACTTTATCGCAGATTTGAAAATGCGTCTATATTTTGAGAGATTCCAGCATCTCAAAAGGAACTATAACACCGGGATATATTCGCCCTCGTTGCCACGAGACAACACGCGAATAAAAAAGAGGAGGGTTCTCTCGCCATCGGCAGCCTCGAGAGGTCAATGCACAATCAAGGACTTCTCGACGAGAATCTGTCGTTACCCCGTTGCACGAAGCTTGCCACGAAAGAATCCCTTTCCCTCCGAGAGGATAGGGCGAGGAAACAGAGACAGGGAAGCGAAGGAAAGAGAGGGAGAAGGGGAAAAGGTGCCGATGGCCGACAGACCGAGCCAAGTAGATACAGGGAGGGTGGAAGAGGGATAGACGCAAAGGGAGAAGAGAGAAAAAAATCGGGAAAAATGGGAAGTCAGTTATTCTTCCGGTTGGCTTACTGCGTACCGTTAGCTATTACTCGCTTGGAGAGAAATATATTCTCCGGCCTTTTCCCGGCCTCACTCATCTCTAATTACGAATCAGAAACAACCCGGTGGGCCGCCGCCTCTGGATCACCCCTTCCATCCACCCGTCGTTCCCTTCATCCACCATCTTCCAATGGCCCTTTCTTCGTCTTCTCGAGTCTCATCCAAAGGCTCGCGCAAGCAGTAACTTGCCTCGACTCTCCTTTCTTTTATCCGGCCCCTGCTGTGCTGCCCCGAGAGAATTCTTCGCTTCGCTACTTTTGTACGATCTTACTTTCCCTCAGTTCTCGATATCTCGTCCTATTCCACTCTTTCTCTTTAACTCTGCGAGAGGAATAGCGCGCGTTATGTATTTATGATCGATATTTATATCTCATTATTACACACAGAAAATGACGTTTTGTCATATTAGATATTTTAACTAGAAATCTAATATGACAAAACATTATTTTCTGTGTGCAATAATGAATAGAAATTCAAACTGGTATTTATATACCAGTTAAAATTATCGTTTTTAATATATATATGTATTTATATATAAAATAGAGGGAGAGAGAGAGAGAGAGAGAGACATTTAATTTTCTCATAGAAATATTCTCAATTAATAATCAAAATATTTTATGCGGCGTCTATAAGGAGACTTAAGGCGTAAGATTTAAGAAATTGACCAACGAATTTTCACAATCGAATATTCTCTTAATAATTGACTGTGATTGGTCAATTTCTTAAGTCTTATGCCTAAAGTCTCCTTAAAATCTCATTGTAGACGACGCTTTATATATAAATACATACATATATAAAAAAAAAAACAAAAAAGCGATATCTGATAAGATGTGCATGACGCGCGCAATCTCTCGTATCTTTTTCCAGTATCGAATTCATCGCAATTGTCTGAGTATCAACCTCAAGCTTGCGACTTTATATAACGGAATTAAGACCGAGCTCCTTCTCGTCGAGTAGTCCTCTCCTCTTGTTAGCGTTTTACTTGGAAACAAAATTTTCCGCGAGTCCTCCCCCGCATAACATTTGTTATTTCTCGTATTTTTATATGCAAAGACGCTTACATGTGGAGATTTGCAACGCAGTTTTCCTCAGTTACGCTTCCGTTTTTTTTTTTCCATGCGAAATTACCTACTTCTACGAGACTATCGCGATCGTCCCCGGATTTTCACACTGCGCCATTATGCAAATTCTTTTTAAAAGTAACCGCGGTCGAGCGAGATATTGAGAGACCGGCATGGGGGAACGAACGGCGATTGAATTACCGAAGAAGGAACGGGAGGAAAGAAGAGAAGACGGAAGGAAAAAATGCGCGAGCGTAGAAAAGAATTATCCGATAATGCCGAAGGCTCGGCGGAATTATGAAAGGTGCTACACCTGGCCTGGACCCGTGCTCAGAAACGCAGCCATTTAAATGCCGTGGCGAAGTCGCGAAATGCCAGATAAACCGCATCTTCCGAGAGGAAAACTCGCGTTTTGTCTCCTCGCGTGAAGCTTGCTCGCTGCCGAGAGCTGGATTCATCCCCCTCGTCGTTTATTGTTCGGCACGTGTTCCGTATCTGGATAGGTTCCGCTTAATTGATTGCATTAAATCGAATGTATGACGCGCGTTGCAATAAATATTATTTTTGTGATATTTCTTTCAAAGAATATTAGTCAGAAAATAAAAGTGCTCTCGCATGAATATGATCTCCTTGGGAAATTTATCAAATTTCTTACGAAAAAAAAGAAATAAATATCAAACTTACCCTTATCAGGAGGCCAATTGTAATTTCTGTTCCTATCCAACTCGGACGACTTTTGCTCCGATCTTCCGATTTCGTTAAGATTCGACTGGAACTTGGTACCTTAAAAAAAATACGAAAGTTGAGAAATATTATCGATATAGAAAAATGATTGCAAGAATTATGTCGGCGTAACATTAACGATACATGAAATACAAGAGTAACCCCGATAAAAATATCTTAGTTGAAAAGTTTACTGTGCATTAACGGCAATTTGTGTTTCCCGGATGTTACGGAAATGAATTAAAAATTGAATCTCACCTCGAGACGAGAGGGCGCGAAATCAGGTCGAGACAGAAGGGACGGCGTCTGGGAGAAACGTCTGAGAGAACGAAAGGAGCAAAAGAGGGGATTGTGTGATTCGCATAGCCAGCAGAACCGCGAACAAAGGGATGCGCGACAAGTAGCCCTTTCGACTGAAGATGTTTACGAGCCTGTTACGCATAAAGTGGGTGGCAAACGCGTTAACTAGTATGCAAACTCTGAGTAAACACAATTCCCTTATACCGCACCAAGTAGATTCTATCCGTGTCACGACACACGCTTGTGTGTCGCCGGCCCGCCAGTTTGGATTACATTCTTGTAACGAAATAGAATTCGCACGAGGGGTATATTTTGATAAAATTACACACTCAGACTTTATGTATCTAGAACTTGTATACATCACGTGTACAAGTCGTCTTTGTGTTATACGCCGTTTTTGCCGTGTATTATATCTAGCGGATTGAAAGAGACATGAATAAATAAATATTACCTGATAAATAAAAGCTGAATAAGTGATATTTAAAATATATAAATTATATAAAATATAAAAAATATATATTATTAATATCTAATAAAAATATTTTTTGACGATCAAATAAATTTTATTTCATGGGCTGAACAATTGAGATGTGTCTTTGCATATATATTTTTAATCTTGGTATATTTATATCTCTAAACATAAGAATATTTTGTGGAAAAATAATAACAATTATAAATATAGAAATAATTACGAATAAAATCGCTCTTGATAAAATCACACACTCAGACTTTATGTATCTAGAACATGTATACATCACGTGTACAAGTCGTCTTTGTGTTATACGCCGTTTTTGCCGTGTATTATATCTAATAAAAATCTTTTTTGACGATCAAATAAATTTTATTTCATGGGCTAAACAATTGATATGTGTCTTCGCATATATATTTTTACTCTTGATTTTGTAAAGAAATAGTAACAATTATAAATGCAATTATAAATAGAAATAATTACAAATAAAATCGATCTTTATCATCAATTTCTATGATGATTTAAAAGCTGCGTCTATGCATGTGCGTGCGGTAAATTGACTAAAGTTCAGCGACATACGCAAGTGCGTTAAACACGAGGAACAGGCAACAGCAGGACCGGCACAACCTGCGCTTACGGCTTAATTTCGAAATACCCGCGTAACAAAGCTGCTCGTGAATACCGCTTTGTGTCTTCGTTTCCTCCCTCTCCCTCCCCCATGATTAGATTTGTAAGTTCACAACCCCTGAGGCAGAGCAATGCAAGCTAGTTTGGGCAAGGCGAGGTCGAGGAACACGATCTTGGCACGATAGCCTATTTCGGGCAAGGTAATGGGCGATCATGACGGTGTATGGCGCTTGCGCCCACCATGTATGCACATGTCCATGTGTGCATAATACTGGGTAGCTGATAGTACGTAAGGTCGCCACCACCGGCCGGATACACCCTCGGACAACGAGGTGAGACACCGTTGTACGGCGACGCAATGGATAGGCTAGACAGACGTATGCAAATCTCGGCTAAACATTAGCAGTGACAGTGTGTATCATGCGCTATACGTATCACGCTGCTGCCTGCCCAGAGGGAAGGGCCAGTTCTATAGTTTCCTATATGCGAGAATCTCTATCGCAACGTGGGCGGCTGTTTCTATAGCTATGCGTGGGTGACGACGTATTTAGGGAGTTAGATGTATATATGCGAGAGCACAAACGCGCGCGTGTAAGCTCGCGGGAGAGTGTTATCTGCACGTCAACTCGGAATTTTGTCGTGGAGATAGTCGTGACAATTGTTTGACGGTCAATTTTCAAGAGTGGGACAAGATCAGGGGAGAAGAGGAATAAATATTAGAACCAACCGTACCGCTCTGTTTTTGAAGTTTAATCTCTAACTGAATGTTTAATATGAAAATTTATTCTACTGTGGATATTTATACTTGAAATTTTGTATCGCAATTTTTTTTTGTTATTTCAAATGTTTGGTCTCTTTTAAAAAATGCAAGAAAATCAAGAAACTGCCTTTAAAATCGTGATACTCATTGAAAGCTAGAGAAATATGAAAATAAAAATGAATGGTGAAAATAAATGTGAAATAAATTTGACAATTTACATGTGTAAATTAACGTAATATATATACAATAATCACTACTTTAGATTATATCATTTGTCGAAGGAGTTACAAGAAAAAATTTTTAGACTGGAATAATTCTCTCGATACAAGCCGATTTAGCATATAAACGAGGCAACGAATGTACAAGCTACATGCTTCTGATGAGTAAACTCAATAAGCAGAGTAAGTTTAAAATCCTGGTGTAGCTTTACCTTGCTAAGGAATAACACACACACACACACACACATATATATATATATATATATATATATATATATCAGTTTAAAAAACACATGTCAAATTTAGTATTCCTTCTTTTATCAAAAAATACACAGTTAAAATAAAAACATAAATATCAACGAAATTTATATGTAACTTGCATTAGAATTTTTACGCGTAGCCTTGGTGCCTTCTGGCCTTGATAAAATTAAAATTTTTAGTATCATTAAATAAATTGTATTGTATTTATTTAAAATGTAATCAATGTAATTGAACGTCTATATGTATAAATTAATGTAAGAATCTGATGCTTTTGAATATGCGCGAATTACAGTACAAAAAAAGATACAAAAATATTGATAAACGCTTTCAGACGCTGTGACCTAAATTCGAGCGTCGCATGTAAAACTGCAATGAAACATTCACGTGTGTCATTATGTCCACGTATATCTCGATATCCCTTTTTTCAAAGTTCTTTGAAAAAAGAAAGTCAGTCTGTAAGAATTTAATTCCCCGATACCTCGATATTTTTGTATCAAATATTATTATTATATACATATATATGTTGAAATGTTGAAAGGTGCACTGTGCAAATATGTCTGGTACAATTTAGCATAGGGCAAGATAAAATATCAGCTCTGAAAAAATTATCAATTGTATTTATACGAGAACATCTAATTAATCAGTCTAATTAATCAAAAAGATAAAATCTCTTATATTAATATAAGACGAGTGGATATTTTTCGTGCTTTTGCCATTTTTTATTTTAGAAGGAAAGAGAAGATATCTGCAAATCAAATAAACTGCAAATAAGAATTTTGAAAAGTTTAAGTTTGACAGTTATTATTTTAGACATTAGTCTCTTAACTAGCGGATTCGAAAACGGATCATCGCAATGTTTAACGTATTTTCGCTCCATTATTCGTCCTTTAACATCAGCTATCCGTTTAACAGCAAATATAATTGCTGGACATTTACTCTTAACTCTTTTAAGATCTTCTGGACCTTCAATTAACAATTTAATTATTATAATTCTTATATTATTTTCACAAATTATACTTTTTACTTTAGAAATTTCGGTAGCGTTCATTCAAGCTTACATTTTTTTCTATTTTATACATTATGATAAAAGTTTTAAATCAAAATCACATATTTCACTTAATTTCCCAAGACCTTGACCTATCATTATTTCTATAAGACTATTTAATAACTTAATTTCTATAATTATATGATTTCATAAAATAAATTATATATATATATTTATTTAAATATTATTATTGTTATTAAAATTGTGTGCGTATTTATTTCGCATTCCGCATTCCGTGAATATTAAACGATCCACGTGTATGCGTTTACTCCTCGGGCGAGCTGATGTCGGCCGATATTGGGGCGCGCGACAAAGTCAATGCTACTCGTGTCCCTGAGGTGCGGCTGCCTGGCTAACTTGTTCCCCAAGAAAATTAACAGCGGTCTAAGGTCGCGCGCACGCTGAGATCTAAACTTATACGTGTCACGCGGCGCGCAATATTGCCACGGCGTGTTGTACTTGTAATTAACGCGTCTCTTTACGATGTTGATTCACGTCATAAATAATTTCGCCGAACTCGACACGCAACGGGCAGGACCTCGTTGAATTCCTCGACAATTTCCCTTACTGACGTTTCAAGAAAATACGTTTACCTCGCGTTTATCGTTGGCTCCGCGATACTCAACTCTTTCCCCATAAAGCTCCCGAAATATACATTTGCAGGCAAATTTAATCTACTTTCATTTAATTCTAATTTTATTTATTCGAAAGAATGGAAAAAAATAAATTAACCAAATTGCGTTTTTACTTTCGTTCCTCTATTCTCGATGCTGCACGTTACGTACGAGAGAATGGAGAACGTGTTAATCGTACGAAGGCACGCGGCTAAACCAATCGCTATACATGCTCTCCCAGAATTACAGGCGGGTAACGCCGCCCCGGGGAATTAAGCGACACCTAAGGGCATATGTGCTCCGGGAGATGTCATGATACCGCGACAATACTTGCTCTGTTTCCCATCGGAACCTCGAAGTGACTTATCACCGTAGGCCGTGTACGGTCGCTTATGTAATTTGCCATCAGGAAATCGAGCTAATGCGAGGCGGGAATAAACGATGATGTAAGGTCTGTAAAAGATGCAATTGTACGATGTCGTACTAGAATCGTCACACAAGTGACGAGGTAATATTTCGTTGCGCAAAAAATTCTTCAAGTATCTTTTAATCCCTTTGAGCATCATAGCAGATGCATCTTGTACGAGAATTGTAAACATCTTTTTTTTTAATGTCATACACCGCTTCACATTGTAACATTTACAAGTAAACGTACCCTCTCGTGCTGCGTCACATGAATAGCATTATACCGTCTTATACGGAAAGTTAAGATGCAGTGCGCGCTATGTTTAGGTATTCTCAACGACAGATTGTCGCAAGTCACTACGAGCAAATAAGGGGCTGTTTATGCTAGGGTTTCCTTCCGCGCGAAGGAAACCCGCGAGCAAATCTTCTGTTTAATCTTAAGTGTACACTTGTGCCCTTTAATTTTCAACGATACAAATAACGAGAAGCGACAACGCAAATAGGAGGGAAGGCACGACCACTGGATTGTTTGAAGAATACAGCACAAAAAGCGCGAAGGGCGCGATGAGAGATAAAGCAAATGAAATAAATTATATGAGAAAAAAATGTACTGTGCGAAATAGGAGGAAGCTATTGGTGAAATTGCGTAACAAGCGTAGCATGGATATAAAAAGAGACGCTGGCGGACCAAAAGAGAATATAAGTCAAACAGATATGTTAAGGAAAGAAGATGACATAAAAATAAACTGCTTAAGAAAATAAGAGAGAGATAAAAGTGGACTCGGTTAAATGTAACCAAAAGATAAAAGAAGAAGAAAAAAAGAGAAGCGACGCGATAAGGGAGAGAGAGATTTTCAGTCGGCAGCATTGGGGTGGAAAAGGAGGGTGAAACACAGAAAGGGAGTAAAAAGAAAGAGAGAGAGAGAGAGAGAGAGAGAGAGAGAGAGAGAAACCGCGAAGGGAGCAAACATTAATGCCACCTTGCAGACCGCAGATGTTGCAGCAATTACAAACCTCATCCTTTCTTCACAGTCTGTCCTTCCTTCTCTTCCTCGCAGTCTCTTCAAATAGAGAGGGAGAAACAAGGAGACATATGCCGTATTCAAACTTACCACATCCCGTTCACTTCTACTCGCCTTCTCTCTCTCTCTCTCTCTCTCTCTCTCTCTCTCTCTCAGCGCTTCATCTTTTCGCCCTCACCTTTCTTTACCGCCTTCCCCTCCTCCTGTCTTTGCGGATGATGACATTGGAGTTATACGTGGAGGTAAGGAAGGCCGTCACGGTGCTCCCCCCCGCAACGAAACACGAATTTTCGATTAAATTTAACACGGCAAGGCGGCAAAAGGACGCTAGTGCGCTGTACGCTGCTGTTTTAGGCGATAGAGCAAAGCGAGGGACAAAGAAAGAAATAGAGGGGCGAGAGAAGGGAAAGGCGAGGATAAGGGACGGTGAGAACGCGGACTACACAGTGGCGGCTGATATTATTCTTGGGTCTTCCACGCTGGAGCATTATTAGTTCCGGCGTGTTAGCATACATGAAATATTGATGTTACAGGGATCTCTTCTACCCCAGTCAACCCTGTTCCCAGCTCTCTCTGTCTCTCTTCCTCCCTTCCCAGCTTCTCTATCCATTCATCTATCCTTTCCGCTCTTTCCGTAACCACTACTCGCGTGTTCCTGTTACGAACATCACTTCAGTTACCTCTTCTCCTCCCCCTTCACCCTTCTCTCTTTCTTGTTACCTTTACATTTATTCTCTCGTTGCTTTTATTCTCTCGCTTTAACCAAAGCTTTTTTGATAATCGTTGTGTGTTTTGATTTCCCAAGTAAATGCTTGAAATTTAAAGTAGCGCAATTTATCACGTCCCTTTTTGCAAATTATTACGTTTCGATCTTTAATTTATATAGGATTCTTTTTGGCGTCCTCACTTAAGATTATCGATATTAAGGATATAATGATTTAAAACAATAGTATTTTTTTTATATTTTTGCGATAGTGAAGATAATTTTTAATCAAAGAAATATTCGCCTTGAAAATTTTGTCTTGTTGTAGACTTTATTTTTGTTATTCTCTTTTTGTCCCTTCTTTAAAAAGAGGAAGTTGCTTGCTCTTTTTCAAACCACCCTTAAAGCAATCGAATCCCGGGATTCCTCGGGATGGATCTTCTGGCTCCAGTTAACATCGAAGTTAATAGCGTCAGGAGATTCAAAGTATGTTACTGGAAAATCTAGTTATGAAATGTCATTTAGCTACATGTGATACCAGATTGAATATGTAAATCCGCTACCTGGAATATACCGATGAAATATTTAAATCTTTCTCTCATGTATTCATCAAGAATTTTTTTTAACGTCAACAATACTAATGATGTGTCAATACATCAATGTGTAGGAGTTAAAACAAGTAAATTCGATACGTTATTGATGTTTCAATTTGTATTGATATTCTCCCAGCTTTCGCGTAAGATGTGATATTCTATTTAACAGACATTTCCTTTCATCACTTTCGACATTATGTCGGTTCTAAATTTTGTTCTCTGTCTCGTTATCTTTATTTCCTTTTTTCAAATATGTTCTTTGAAAGAAAGAGAGAGAAAGAGAGATCCGAATGATTGATACACTTTTCGAACAGAGATCAAGACTGAAGAGAATACTTTTCCCAAATATATTTCAAGTGCTTGTTATATTGCGCGACAGCCGACGAGTGCATTATTACTTTGTTGAAAAATGCGTCAATTCTCTTAATTCATGAAATTACATATAGTTGAACACATTATGTAAGAGAAAAAAAATAAAGAAGAAGATGCGTCGCTATCTCTTTTTTCGAGAATATTCACACTCACCTGTCTTGATATTCTTGTCATTATGAATTGTCAGCGAACTTGGATTCCCGTAAACAGAGTTATTCATCTCGCCCATGAAATCCCAATCTGCAAGAGTAAATGTACATTGGAAAATTATATTCAAGCGACCGAGATATATCGTGAATAATATCGATTGTATATTATATGGTATCGTCAAATTTTACGACGCGAGTCGTGCGACCTTAAAAGCGCGATTCATCAATTTTGCTACAATTTATTATATTCAATCATCACGAATAGAACAGAAAATACATTCTCAAGGTCTCACCTTTCTTGGCGATCTCCGTGGTAGACGGACTAGGACTGGTGCTAGGCGGTGCTGACACTGCAACAAAACAAATTTCCCTCTTTAATATGAAGCTCGAATCTAAATTGATATCGTATATATATATATATATATATATATATATATATATATATATATATATTTCGTACAAAATTAATTATTAGAATCCCCTGACGAAATATCTGTACATTTTTCTCGAACCGTTTTAGACTAAAAAAAATCCTTCTTTATTTATATTTTTTTTGCAATTTTCATGGCAAAATTAATAACTATTTTTTTTACAAAATATCTGTACATTTTTCTCAAACTGTTTTATATTAAAAAAAACCTTCTTCATTTATAATTTTTTTTCCAATTTTGGTGGCGAAAATAACAATATTATTTTTTTCACGAAGTTTTATTCTTTCAAATCTATATTCTTGTTCTCAATCGGTGACACTCTTTTTTTTCTACGTATTGTTGATTCGATCGAAGTATTTTTTATGTAGACAAAAAATTAACAAAAAATATTTAAGGGATACATATACACCTATTATTTTCTTCTTTTTTAAATTCTTTTGAAGAATTCGGACAATTAAACGCAATAGTCACGAAATTAATATATGGAATTAAAAATATTATATTCACATATTTACATGCAACCCCCTTGTCCTTCCAGATTGAGCAAATTTCGCACCGCGCGCTGTTATGGATCGCGCCACCTGTTACTAAGTTCTCCCCTAGAACGTATTAGCCGTCGTGGCGCCGGCCAAACTCTACATCATATTTTACTCTCCCGGTACATACACGCTTTCTCCCTTCTCGTTCCCTTATTCGCGCTTCCGTGTAACTTATTCGGAGGTATGTACCTGAATAATTATCCGTAATTTTGTTTGTCCTTACCGAAAGCGTCATCGACCGGCTTTACAATTAGCTATAATTGTCTATGTGGACAGCTACAACATTTTCTGTTAAACATTGGGGGATAGGATTATAGAGGCTGAAAAGGGGTGAAATCGAATATTTTTATAGCTGTAATTTTTGTTCAATAATCTTCATTTTTTTGTACGCGATATTTTTCTATAAATATTATATAAATTTTGATATAAATTTTCTTTAACTGTTGATCATTTTTTTCAGTCATACATGAATTCTTGAACGATGTAGAAAATGAATACAAGATTCTTTTCAAATTATATTATTCACTTTAATGACAAGCACAAATGTGTAAAATACAAATAAGTCGGAAGAATTAAATCAAAATTGCGAAAATTTATTGCCTTAACATAAATACTAACATGAGTCATAAATTAAATCTCATTCATGGAATTGAATAGCTTATCTTACAAAAAAAAATGAATTGTATAATTTTTTAGATCGTTAATATTTTATGCCGTATCATATACAATTAAAAAATTTAAGGAAATAATTGTAGCTTTTTTTATGCTCTGTACAAAAAAGAGAGAATATTTTAATTTCGACATTTTCAGCCCAGACATATTGATTTATTTATTTTCAGTTCGATATTAACTCTGTATTATATTTTTGTACATCTCTGACGATATATAATTTTGAATAAGAAATATTTAATATACGTCTGTGATTTTCAATGACCCAATTTATATTAAAATTTCTGACTTCCTAGTAGATTTAATATTTAATCACAAAAATGATTATAAACCGTAATCTTTACAGGAAATTTTTTTAAAGAAAAGTTTCAACGTGCATTTAATTTTAAATGAAATAAAAATTTTTCCAACATATGCGACATTACATGCCGCAGTTGTAATACGGTAAAGTACGTTAAAATAGCTTTTTTTACCATTTTAACGTCAAGTTTTTCTCAAAACGTCGCGATGGAGCACTTTAAAAGCTGGAAACGTAGTTCGCATTATTAAAATTACGATGAAAAATACGATTATTCATTTTATCATTGGATCTAGAAATGGTTATTTTTGTCTCATCTATGTAATTTTAGCGTTTGCCGATAAAATTTTTAAGAATGTGTAATAATATAGACAATTTCGATGATTCGTAAACATAAAAGGAGGTCATTGCTATTTGTCGCAAGCGTATCTGAGCGATTACCACGTCGTCAGAAAGTGGTAGAAAGTGGCACGCGATGCATACTGCAAAGATGCGTCCTCCTCAGGGTAAATAGGATAGGGATGACAAAGTATGCGTCTCGGCAGACGTGTTTACACACGCGAACGTAACGCAAATATGTAGCCGCCGTCTTTTCTGTAAGATAATACCTAAATGACTTTCAACCCGTTTCACTCGATTGGCTACGATGTTCCCCGCAGAATTATAACAATGGCATGAACCCCGTTGCAGCTTTATCTTGAGACATTTATATTAAATATTTATCTCCGCGCGAAATTTATATTTACATACGCGCGATAGATGCGGACGTAAAAGTAATAACAGTTTTACGATGGAAAATCGAAAGAGAAGAAGCGTTAAATTCGCGATTGTCGTTGCCTGCTCTATTCATAAATTTCTACGTGTAAAAAATCAATACTTTGATATTCGAACGAAGAAATCACATTTGTTGGAAATTGTGATCGTTCGCGTCATCATGGTTATTACGAGGGAATATTATCCAGTTTTATAGATATAAATATGGCACACGCGATGGGTAAAATTCATTTATCACTTTTGCAAGTCACCGATGGAAGGCAGAAAGATTAAAGCTGAGAACGCAATGAGGAAAAAAGCGAGATAGCAGAAGAAAGTGAGAGAGAGAAGGGGAGAGAGAAGAGAAAAAAGGCCGCTGAAGGAAAAGAGAGAGAAAGTAAGGCAGCGACTTTTCACCTTTGATTTATCGCGCTAACTTTTATTTTCCTCCGGAGATATTAAAACCCGTTGTCCTGACCATTTACCTTCGCCGAGCTGATTGATGATTGAACCAGTTAACGTGACAGCGACGAATCAACTCTCTCATTATGTCCGATTAAATACGAGCGTGTGTGCCTCTAACCCTCCAAAGCTTAGAAATATATATAAAATCGTGTCGTGTAATTTAAAAATTCCTCCTTGACACCGCATAATAATCGATCGATAGTAGTTATCGAAAATTCTAACGAAAATTTATCATAAACGAAAAAATTTTGCGCGGCAATGCTTTTGAATTTAGCAACAGTTTCGTGAAGATAAACTAGCATAAAATATAATAAATATATAATAAATAATATATAATAAATATATTGTAAAAAATATGTATATTCACAATTTTTTTGTTGGAAACTTGTACGTTCAAACATTTACTAAATTGATTTATCGTCACTAGATGAGCGAGGAGAACTCATTAAAATCTTAAGACGACTTAATTAGCCTAATAGCATCATTCCTTTTCATCGGTACGTCACTAACGCTTCGTTTCTCCCTTTCTCACCGGCTCATCTTTCTCTACTATCCAATTTCTCCTTCTGCCATGTGACTATAATGAGCACGCAAGACGTTCAAATATTGTCTAGAGTAAATGTTATTCATTGCACGAATAATTGTTAGCGTATCCTAGCGGTATAAATTACGTACAAACGGGAAATCAATGATTTTATTTGCGGAACATCAGATATACATACCAAGACATATATAAGTTTAAAGAGAATTGATTTAGGTAAGATAAAAATATTTGAAAATAATTACATTTGGGGAGAATTTTTGAAATATCATTTCAAAACGTCAAAACGTTAAAAGTAAAGAAGTCATAGAATTTAAAATATACATAAATCCATCTTGAAATAAATAGTTTTTTTAACCAATTTAAAAAATACAAAATTTTTTTAGCGAAAATATCGGAAGTGACATAGTTTCTAATTTTTAACTGTGCAAATTAGATTCTAATGTAAAATTTGCTTGAAAAATATATTATTTTTTATTTTCTGCTCTCGAGTTTAATTCGCCTAAAATTCTCCGCATAATCATTAATTTATCAAAAATGATCGTATCCTCAATATTTTTACCGTAGAAAATTAAAGTTTGAATTGGCCTCGAAGAGTCGATAACGAATAAAAATTCTGGCAATTTCGCGACATTCCGCGTGTAACTCGTACCGCAGTTGTACATTTTTTATCACATGTCGTAGCGTGCATCATAATTAAACTACGCGCGGTCTGAATTGTAAATCGGTCCGTGGTGAACGTGCGGACGCGTTAGGACTGGGTCGCCGATTCCCACCAATCATCAATGCCGCCATTATTGCGGTCGGACCGCGATCATTAACTAAATCGACGACAGATCGACGTAGGAAATAATTTGCCGTAGGCGTCATCGAATCTCGGCGCGCCACGACAAGCAGGAAATTGCCAGCTCTTCGTTAGGTTACGATCGCGTAACCCAATTCCGCGAGAAACAATAGGCCAACGAGGCGCTTTTGTCAGCTGCTGTCGCTACATGTCTATTGTAATTACTCGTGACGAAATCCCTTATACTAACATATCGATCCAAGACGCTCGACCGTTTGATCCAATTAACGATAAGGATATATACATACACACGAGTCGCATTAAATACGCCTCGTCGGGGATGCATCTAGGCCCTTTCCATACAAACGCGGAGTCAAAGTCCTCTTTGATAATTATCGACGTACGATCCGTCACATTAACGCATCGATCCATTAACCTGGAGTTAGCCAGGTGAGTCTCAAGGCAGATGTTGCGACGATCCGCCTTGATATCCCGCGGGATTATTGAGCCAGTGGGGGAGTCGGGCTTCCTCCCCAAAGTCCCATACGTGACAAAGGAAATGGTTAGAGCGCGTCGTACGAGACGACTTTTTCTCTTGACAGATCTGACGACTTTCGCAGGAAAAATCCTTCCACGACGAGTTTCGCGTTTCGTCGAGAGAGAGTTTCTCAGTAAATAGACTCCTTGACGATCAAAAGGCCCGTGGTATGTTCGATAACGTAGTTAATAATTCTATCAGGCTGCCCTTCGCCTTTGTGCTCGTCGGCACGGTATTTCTAAACGGTGATCTCTCGATACAGCGGCCAATAGTGCCTGCCGGAAAGCATTTCCTCGCGAAACGGCACGGTCCATCGGAGGGCGTGGATGCGC